GAACCAAAGTGAAGTCCTGAAGCTGAGCTGGGACAAGCCAACGTCTTCCCTGTGACTTCAAGCAGCGACCACACTACGGCTTCTTCACAGAGACAGGTCGGGGGCCTCATGCAAGGGGGTGAGGCCAGGGACCGACACACCACGGTTGGGTCATCAACCCACTTCTTCACTGGGAGAGGAGCCATAAAACCTGCACATTAAATTCTTCTCTTGGAGAATGAGGAAAATAATCCCTGCTCCCCCCCCTTACAAGGTCAAAATAGGGACACTTGGGGGACTACAATTTGTTCACACATTCATCTGAGCGGTAGACACAGCGATGGCCACATAATAATCGGGGACACCTCGCCTTCTGTCTCCCTTTTCTGTAACAGCGCCCCGTTGACTTTGGGACATCAATCCTCTTCCACAGCCTGAGAGGTCAGCCTCCAAGAGCCCTTGATCTTCCAAAATGGGCCAAATGGACTCTCTCCTGAGATTGATTCTTAAGTGGGAAAATACAAGGTCAGAGAGGAAAAAAAACAACCTGGTTGAATGGATTCAGTGCCCATCAATTCTTGCTGCACGGACCCTGGAGCACCTCAGGCAGGACAGGGACCACGCGGTGATCCTCAGAACATTCTCTCTGGGCACGTACAAAACAGCAAGAAGCGAGCCGTGTCTGTGCCAGACCTGGCCTCTAAAAAGTCCCCGTTCTCTCTCTCTCTCTGCGCAGCTGGGAGCGAAGGTCTCACTCCAGCAGCGCCAAACCACGCAGAAGCCCAGGACCCTGGACCAACTGGGTGGGCCTCCCACCCACGTCTCAGACGAGATGCAGTAACCAGCTTCCACGGTAGGTCGCTGAGGTTTGAGGGCTGCCTTTACAGAAGTTAGCGGGTGTCTGCTAACACACTGCTATCCTTTTCCAAGACTGATTTTTTGGTCTTCCTCGCAATGCTGATTTCTTTCCAGCGAGTTCCTTTCTGCTTCAGTTAACCAGCAACTAACTCTGTCGCTTCTGCAGCACCGCCCCCCCCCCCTGGATTCTACCACTAGTGATAATTTAAATGCCCGGAGAGGGAATGAGGACCAACAAGATTGAACCACGTGAGCTCACCTGCAACTACAGATGTTTATAGACACTTTATCGGTTAACAAACACAGGCTCAGCACTAATGAACATTTAAGAGGCATGAAGTGAGTACTGTTACACATTCTGCCCGTTTATCATTTAAAACACACACCCTTCAGTTTCTGTACAGTGGGTGCCCGGTGAGGCACGGCCGGCAGGAAGACCCAGGAGAGTGGGCCCTCGCCGTGAAGCGCCCACGGGCCAGCACCACTGAGAAGCTTCCACGGTTTTGAGACAAGGCTACGTGCAGTGCCCACATTTCTACTCTCACGAAGTGAAACCAGAACATGGGACCGACAGGGTCTGCCCTTGGCCGCCTTGGCTTTGTAGAATCCTCCTGGGTGACTCACGTGGCCTTTCGCGGTTCTGTCACCCGTGGTTCACACACCATGGACTCTCGTCCTCATTTCTCTGCTGAGTCACGTTTCTAGCTGGAACTCCACCTGGTGCCCCTGACACCGCTCACCATAAGCATGTCAAGAGCCAAACTCACCCTCCTGCCCCCAGCCTGCCCCTCAGCCTGCCCCCGAGCCGGTGTTCTCTCTGAGCTGGCAAGCAGGTGGCTGCCCAGCTGGCCAGGAGGCAGGGTGACCTTGTGACTCATCTTGCTGTCCCCCACCCCCGTCATTTCCTTTTACACCTTCGTCACTGCGACCCAGAAACGTCACTGCCTTCTCAGAAACGTTTCTGTCCTGCATTGTCTCTTGCCCACCCACCGCTCTGGTTCAGGATCTCACGACCTTTCATGCGTGTGACCCCGGCAGCCCCCCTAAGGGACCCTTCTCTTCTAGCACTTTGTCTCCAGGGTTCTGTCTGCCCGGCGGCTAGTCACTGCTCCAGCCCTGAGGTCTGGTCTCGTTCTCCTGCTGACGTTTCTCCATCAGTCCCCAGAGTCTTTGGGACAAAATCCCAACTCCTCAGACCTCCATACGAGACGTCCCCTTGTCCATCTTCACCGCTATGTGTTGTGAGAAAACGAAACTCCTCCTCAGCTGGCCTCTGACTCGACCCTCCGACTCTGCTTTCCTTACTGACCAGCCCTCTGACTTCCCCGCCAGTTTCTGCTCCCCGAGTTGTGATCGTCCCCAAGAAGAGGTGATATTTCAGTGACCGTCAGCAGCAGGGTAGCTCTGTCTAGCCCGGACCTACGTGGGGACGACCGCTGCGGACTCCCCTGGCTTCCTCGCAGCTGGCCGGGGAGCCCTCTGCTCGGCGCTTCCCTGGGAGGCCAGGTCCTCATTCGTCCGAGGGAGTCACTCTCGCTCTCCTACTTTTCAACATGAGAATTTCCGAGTTGAAATGAAGCTCCAGGGTAACTCGGCTAAAGGACCTTTCCGTGCGTAGCAGCTCTCACTCACCAGGGAGTTGCCAGCCTCTTCGGGACACAGCCGTCACTGCCCCCGAGAAGGCGGTCTGTCCTTGGAGTCTCCACTCGTTCACAGCTCCCGCTCCGCACCGGAATGGACGCCCTCTGTGGCCACTGGTGTGCCCGTTCTCACTTTTCCTGGCCACTGCGTAAGCTCCTGGTCCCTCTCCCACACGATTTCTCTTTGGGAGACACCGTCCCCCACTCCCTGGTCCCAGCCCTCTTTCACTAGGGCGGACCCTCCAGGCACGCCTCCCGTGACATTCGATGGCTGAGCCAGGGGCCAGGCACCTTTCCCCACCCCCACCGAGGTCTTCATCTGTGAGGCTGACCTTGACATCGGCCCCCCTGGGGCTCACCTGAAAACAACACCTAACGCAGGTCCGCCAGGCAAAACCACCCCATACTTGGACCTTCTACAACGGCGACAGTGTTTTGAAACATTCTGTGAAGGTCATCGAGACGACGGAGACTCAGAATTTTGCATTTGGGAGGTCAACCGGGTCCTTGACGCACACAGAACGTCCTCAAAGATTTCAAACTGACCCCTTTAAGTAGCTCACACAGCTCGCATTGCCGGGAAAAGTTTACACGGCCCCACGTCTGACCTTCTCTGACCCGTGCGTGGCCGCGTGTATGAGTCCCCTCCAGCCGACCCGGGCCCCACCCCTGTTTATCTCACTGCTTCTGTGGCCTCCCCTGCCCCCCCACAATGGTTTTAAGTCGCAGTGATTTCTGTTCTTCGTGACGTCCCCCTGGCTGGCAACCACGTTCATCAGAGCCTCCCTTTCTCCACCTCTGTGTCCCAGAATGGCGTCCATGCCCAGTTACTCTGGTGTCTGACCCGGGGGGACGCCCTTCCCACACTCCGCCCCTCCTCCTCCTCCGAGACGCGCTCTCTCTTCATTCCCCCAGGACCGCGGAGCTGGGGCCGGATGATTGACGGGGGTTCTACCTGTGGCCTCTCCTCCTGCCCGGCAACTACCTCCCCCCTCAGACGCCTGCGCTGGCCGATTAACCGTCCGCAGCCAGCGGGCTGCCGGCCCAGTGCCCTCTTGTTTCAGGTCTGGCCGTTAGTTATGTGTGATCGGGCAGAATTGATCTTTTGATCCCTTCTGAGTTACCAAGTCTCAGCTGGCCCCAAATCTGATTTCCCTGGGAGTTCTTACAACGTCATCGGTAGAAGCCTTTTGTGTGTCTCCATTTCCTTGTCAGCATCTTGTCAGACTTCCCGTTCCTTTCCAAACCACTGCAGGGACGGCTTTATGCCACGTTGCACACAAGGTATATATGTATTTGGCGTAAGTCGAGGTCCTAATAAGGGCGGATGGTTAATAAGTAAAGACTCAATTATTTATAAATAATTACTGCCTTAACCCATGGCTGTGAGTTCAAAAATGAAGGCAGAAGAACTGTTGATTTGCCAAAATCACACAGTCCTGGTGGAGTAAAACGAAAACTCCAAAGTAGCAAATTTGGACCCTGGGCGCCGAGTTTCTGGGGAAACAAAAATTAACCTTCAACCTCCTTTGCCTCTAAAAGAAAGCACCTTAACCCTCTCCCCAAATTGTTATCATGTGGGCTGTTGGCAGCTGCAAACCACTGTAATTTCTTTTAGAAAGTGGCTTCAAGTGTTTACCTTTTCTCCTATGATTCACGTGGTTTTTCTTTTCATTTCCCATGTTTTATTCTAATTTCCTCATTCAACCAACATCTCCAGGGCACGAAATATGTGCTCAATTTCCAGAATGTAGAAGGAGGCCATCCCCCGCTGACATTGTTCCTGCCCACGAGAGAGGAATGATACCCGAAAGTAACGAGTTTTCATTTTGGGGGAGGGAAATGAATATTAATAAGGATTAGGTATCTGTTTGGCTCTGAGCGTCGTAACTCAGACACTTCAAGGTTCCAAGAAATTTGCCTTCAGATGAAACACAGCCATATCCTTGGTAGTGCTTTCCATGGGCACTAATATCACACACACACACACACACACACACACACACACACCCTTCAGTTCACGGCCATCCTTCCCGTAATTGTCCTACGTGGCGCTGACCAATGGGAAAAGGTTCCAGTGTCTCTCTGAGGAGGTCCTGACTCACCAGTGGGTTCCTAGCTCTCCCTGGTCTCTAACCTGCTTCAAAGGCTTCTGGCCTTTTCTTCAATAATTGGCAAATAAAAGGATAAGTAGAGCCGAGAGTGGAGAGCAGCCAGGGAGCCGGGGTTAGTGGTGCAAATGGAAGGAAGGAAAAAAAGAACAACCAAGAACGAAGGAAAACCATTCAGGGCAATGCTGAAAAGAGGGCCACAGCTTTCGAGAAACAAGATAGAAGAAATGCAGCCCCTGCCCCCGAAGACAGGCGCTGTCTGTGCAGCCTGCTGCACAGGGACCAGGACCTGCTGCACAGCCTGCTGCTGTCTGTGCAGCCTGACGCACGCGCGTGCGCACAGGGACCAGGAAGGAGAGGAGGCCGCCAGGAGCTGGCCGAGGTGGGAACTCAGCCGACAGCCTCCACTTACCCAGCACCAGCAGCTCCACCGAGTCCTCGTTCTTGCCCTCCAGGTCGTCGGGGGTGGTGATGATGCAGTAATAGAGGCCGCTGTCACCCCACATGAGTTTCCCGATTTGCAAATCTGCGTCTGTTGGGGAGGGAAAAAAGAGCCCAGTCCTGAAGCAGGCCCCAGAGAGCACGGCTGGGCCCCATGGGCGGGAGGGGGCCCCTTGGGGCATGCCTGCAGCCGTCTGTTTCTTTACCTGGATGGTGGCGGAGGAGAGGTTTGCTTTATCGAAAACAAACAGAGGAAGGAACAAAATCTAGCATCCCTAAGGCGAGAGACTCAGAGCCCCCGCAGGACCTGGCCCTGTTCCCAGCCCGGTCCAAGCGGGCCAGCACAGAACGCTGAGACACGTACACTCGAGAATTACTCTGGACTCCTGCACAGGAGAAGGCTTCACGGGACGACTTCAGAACTCAGATAATCCCACAGGTCACGTCAGACTCCCAGGGCCTCGTCTTGGCCAGAGCTTTGGGGACAAAGGGTGGACCTGAGACCAGACCTCCTGGGGTGTGGGCCCAGCAGCCGCCTGGCTTGGGAACTACCTGACAAGCCTCCCTTCCCCAGGGGAGGGCGGCACGGGCTTCCTGAACTTGGGGAAGGGCCCCCAGACGGATGCCAAGGTGCACAGTAGCTACATGGGGAAGTTCTCTCACTAGAACCCATTTCCTCTTGGTTCTGAGAACGAGCTCCCCGGACTGGATAGAGGTCAGGCTCAGGGAGAGTATTTCCGAAGCTCTGCTCTAGATATTTCCCACCTCCTCTCCCCTCGACCTCCCTCGAAAGCAGTGTGCAAGGCTTCGTGACACCTCTATACCCCCTAAAACCCATGTCTGGAGGGGCTGGAGGGCTGAGAGGCGGGCTGGCACCCCACGTCTGGGAAGAACAGCGCTAAGGGCCCTCCCGCTGCCCAGCCTCCACCCGGAGGCGGCATTACCTACCGTGCACGATGGTGATCTCTCGGCCCCTGTAGAAATCGCCCAGGGTGACGGTCGAGCCCTGCTTGGAAGCGACCACCCGGACGGTCCTCCTGCTGTCCAAGCAGTCCAGGTAGGGGTCCCACTCCAGGTTCCTCTTGCTGAGAGACTGGGCCCGGGGGGAGGACAGCGCCAAGGACTCCCCCATGCGGTCCTGGCAGTAGGACTTGAACTTCCACTGCACGACCGCGGGCTGGTGGGAGGAGGTGGAGAAGCGGCAGCGGAGCAGCGTGGGCTGGAAGAGCATGGCCACCTTCTTCTTGTCGGGCACCGTCACCTGCAGGCCTTCCGCCAGGGCTGCAACACAGAGTGAGCGTGTGCAGCGGCTTCTGCATCCCGGACGGCGCCTCACCCACTCACCTGCCCCTCCCCATTTTCTCCATCACTGTGAACGGCCCCATAGCAACCCGGCTGCCCTTTCCAGAAACCCGCCATCGTCCCCAGTGTCCAATCAGTCACTAAGTGATGTCAACAACGTGCTCCCTTAATATCAATAATATGTCTGCCCTCCCTCTTTCAGAACTTCCTCTTCATCTCTTCTAACATTGTAGGACCGCTTGCCCAGCCTCTTGCTGGCAGCTGCCGCAGGCAGGACCTTATCTCAAGTTCAGGGGGCCTTTCTAGTCCGACTGTTAGGGTTCCCCTTAAAACACTTCACCCCTGCCCCGGCCGGTGTGGCTCCGTGGGTTGAGAATCATCTGTTCCATAAACTGAAAGGGCGCTGGTTTGGTTCTTGGCTGGAGCACGCACCTGGGTTCTGTGTTCGATACCCAGTCGGGGTGCATACAAGAGGCAGACAATCAATGTCTCTCTCCCTCCCTTCCCCTCTCTCTAAAATCAATAAGCAAGTCCTCGAGTGGGAATTGAAAAAAAGCCAACCCTCCACTGCTCCTCCATGGCCTCCCACCTTCTCGGCAAGATGTTCACGGCTCTTTCCTCCTCACCTCACTTCCCGCAGTGCCTCTGAGCACCAGCCTCCAAATACGGGCTCCCCCCGGGGCTGCCTCGCACCCCCAGCTCGGGGCATGTGATGCTCCCTAGCTCTGGAACGCTTCGCCTCGCTTCCAGGGAAACGCCCTTCCCCTTCCCCAAAACTGGTTCACGTCCTCCCTGTGCCGTCAATGTTCCCGGTGTCCTTCAGACGCTCCCCACAGTGACCTGGCAAGGACCGGTTTCCACGCCCGGCACGCCCATCGCACCTCTCCGGTGAGGAGCGTGTCTCGTCTCATTGCTCTGTCTCGGGACCCCATAGGTGCTCCACGCATGTTTGATCTATACAGACGGCGAAGCCAGGGTGTGTGACTTCAGGGGGAAGTGACTTCCCTGGCAGCTGGCGCCCAAGCAAAGGGGACAGAGATGAAGGGGAAAGGAAGACTTTGAGAGACACGGAGAATTTCCGATCAGAAGCAGGAGACTAACTTCAAAAGCTCTGAAGCTTCTGAAGCCGGATGGTGGGGAAGGCTGAAAGGAGCATGAGACGTTTAAGTGGACGCCCGAGCCTGGCTGCCCATGACAGGGAGGGACACTTCAGTGAATGACAGACCCGGGGTGGGGGGGTGCTGGAGGGGCTGGGGACCTCTGTGAGCTCAATGGTAAGGCAAGAGGACACAACACCCTCAGGTGAGTGGGCAGAGGGGCGAGAGTTTCTGGCTGGATCTGAGGTTAGCAGCAGACACGGAACTAAGACGAGAAGCAGAAAAAAGGAATATGAACAGACAGGGGTTGGAAATGAATCCAGGAGCCCGCCAAGTCCGCCTCGGGCCGCCTGGGGCAGATTCACCAGGGAACTGATGGTGGATTAGAACCTGCACAGGAGAAGACTAGTCTCATGCGTGGGTGTCCGCATTCACCGACACCCTGCCGAGCAGTCACGGTCACAACTCTAACACACACTGAGTGAGCGATGTCTTTCTAAAAGCACCTTTCACGTGGGCAAGATGCCCTATCTGGGCCCTCATTTTCTGATCTCCAGGCCAGGGCCTGTCTTCGGCCAGAGCGCTTATGCGGGGGAAGGCTTTCCGCCCTCTGCCGGCCCAGGAGGGGAACACGACAGGGTAGACTAGTGGTTTAGGGATTCCCCGAAGTGTCTGAGCCTACCAAGTGCTCAGTGACCACCTGTGGGTCACTGGAGGGACGGATCAGCAGCTCAGGGACTCGTCACGTGGGAATTTCTAGGGCTCTGCTGAGAAACTGGTTGTCCGATGCACCGTGAGTGGCATGACGTATGTAGCCAAATAGCATTGGTGCCAGAAGATAGGGCCCTGGCTGGGGTGGCTCAGTGGAATGAGCGCCAGCCTGCAAACCAAAGGGTCATGGGTTTGATTCCCAGTAGGGGCACATGCCTGGGTTGTGGGCTAGGCCCCCAGGAGGGGGTGCTCGAGAGGCAACTGATCGATGTTTCTCTCCTTCTCTATCTCCTTCCCTTCCCCTCTCTCTGAAAATAAATAAATAAAATCTAACGAAAAAAAGAGACAGGGCCTGGGATCTTATCTGGCCGTATAGCATGTGAGGGGAGGCCTCTCCGCCTGTAAAATGAGCCTCATAATTCTTGCTCATTGGGTTGCTAACCAACATTACCTCGTTGGTCACCTGCCGAGAGTGGCCCTGTGACTGTGACCTATAGAAGGCGGTTCTCAGACACTACTCTGTCCCCTGCCCACAGTTCTGAGCATCCTGTCTCTTGATGGCCGCCCATCACCGGCAGGTCTGACTACCACCAGACTGTGCAACCCATCCCAGCCAGGAGCTCCCTGGGGGACCCCCATGCCCGGGCTCCCCTGCTGCCCCCCCCAGTGGGGACGTGGCTAATGCATTCTCCCCAAGTTCCCCTCAAATTCCAGAGCATTCGTTCTTTTTAACCTCGTCATTCTTCTTCAAATCCTATTCAACTCCAGTTTCCCGGGCAACTAGGATGGGGCAGAGAGGAGAAGTGACTTCAGTTAGCAGGGGCTGAAGTGGGGTGACCGGTGGCAGGCACTGTTCCCAGCACAATGCTGCGCACTTGACCCCGCCACCTGTCCTACCTGTTCAGGCACACTCGGGAACTCGCCTGTGCTGGCCTTTCTAGGATAAATAAAACCAGCTACGGAGGCAGGTGGCGCGCGGAAGTGTTGTTTTTCCAGAGAGCGAAATGTGGCCTTTGGTTCATTAGATGATTAGCCAGGACAACCTCCCCCCCAGCGCTGTGCTCCGCTAACGAGAGGTGAGCCGCTGACCGGGCCGCTGGACTTCTTTACTCATTAATAGAAGTCACTCGGTTCTCGGCGTCTTCCACGACATGGACATGAACTCACGTCCTCGAAAAGAGGGAACACGCTCTCGGAAGCAGCATCTGCCCCCTTGCAGCCTGACAGCCAGAGGCTCGGATCTTGGAGCCTAAATTAGAATCCAAGTGTTACCCGCTCCTAAGTGTTACCCGCTCCTCCTTTGAAGATCCCCAGCGAATGCCCCCCGGCGGAGGAGCTTCAGGTCCCTCTGTGAGAGCAGAACAACAGTGACTGCCGCCTGCAGCTGTCAGAGGGCGGAATACCGTCTCATCTGAGCACTTATCAGGGTCACACGGTACAGAGCAGGCGCTCAGTCACTGCTGTGCTGCTCTCTGCCAGGGTCAGCCTTGACCTCTGCGCGGCCGTGAACCTGCAGCGGGGGTGGGGTGCGTACGGCCAGCAGGGTGTTCGACGCTGAGTCCACGGAGGCAGAACGGCAGAACTGGCCCGGGAAGCCGGACCGGGAAGCCTGGCGCTGCGGGGTGGCAGTCCCGCGGGTGCTCCTCCCGGCTCTGCCGCACAGACGCCCCCGGAAGTCGGCGGTGGAGGACGACCCGGGGCACCTCTGTGCACATGCGCAGTCTAATGGGACCCCGGGGACTCTGAGCTGGGGACTGATCTGGACAGCTGGAGAGGGCGGGACTAGGATTTGCGCGAAAATGTCCGTTAACTGGGTCCGGGAGGGACAGGAGTGAAGGGTTACAGAGGAAACTGAAAACGATGAGGCCTGCTTGAGCTCCGTGAGCGTCACACCGTAGGACGGATGCGACCGATTCCCACGCCTGCCTGGCCAAGTCTGTTGGGGACGCCATTCCCACTGGGGAGGGGCTCCACCCGGATCCCAGGGGACGCCTTGGGTCCCCTACACCCTCTGAGCAGCCTGCTTTCCCTCCGCCTGGGTGCGTCTTAGACTCACTGTGTTTCCACCTGACCCGTAACCGTTTGTCCCACTGGGATCCAAGCCTTGCTCGGAGCTCCCGCCAGCTCGCCTGGGCCCCCGATGCCGCCCCCGTCCTGGGGCTCAGGTAGTGTTTCCCTTGCCCCTCGGGCGAGACTGATCCGAACCTGACCCTGTGATGCTGCTCCCCGCCCACCCCACAGTGAAAAATACCTCTCACGGGGCCCCTGTCCTGCTCCCAGAGCTGGCCCTTGGGGACATGAGCCGCTGGGGTGAGGCCTGAGACAGGAAGGCTGCGTGGACATGGCGGGCACACCTGGGCTCAGGGAGCCCTGGGTCTGAGTCCCTCCTCTCACACATTCTTCGTTTTCCTGCTTCACCGAAAACCTGGTGCTTCTCGGGATGGAGTCTACACAAGCTCAGAAGGATGTCTTTGAACGCCAGGAAAACACACGCACAATTTCAGCCTCTGTGAAGTAATTACTCGTCTCGTGAGCAGCCCAAGAAGCCTCCCTGTGTCCCGTGGTTCCAACCACCAGCTCTGCCCCCGGCCTGCAACTCCCGTGGCTGTATCTGCGTGTTTAACAGCCACTCTGAACTGAGGGTGTCTGCGCCTCGTTCATCATCTCCTTTCTTCCTACCTCCTGCTTATGGGCCGGCTCCTCCTCTCCCCCAGCCCTCCGCTGGGCTGCCTCAGAGAGAAGTCGGAACTTGGGGGATTTCTTCTCTGGCCCTGACCACCCTTGGCTGGTCACTAAGGCTACACTGCTCTCCAATCTGCCCCTTCTCTGCCATCCCTTACATCACAGCCGATGGCCGTCCCCTCTGCTAGGTAATGGTTACAGAAGGCTCCCCACGGGTCAGAAATTGTGTGGAGCACTATCCATGTAGTATCTCAAAGAGTTCTCTCCAAAAAATCCCATAAAGTGGGTGTTGTTATTATACCCCGTTTAGAGGTGAAGAAACTGATTCTTAGAGAACAGAAGTCTCTCTTCCCAACATCTCCGAGTTAGCAAGCGACAGTTGGTTGGGACGCTGGCTGACTGGCTCCGCAGCTCGGGGCCACCACCCACACAGGTCCGCATCACCGGCCTCTGTGACAGCCTCTTCTGGGGCCCCTGCGCCCAGCCCGG